TATGGCTTGCAGGCCATATATTTTCTGTCACAGCTACACAGTTCTGCTGTTGAGGTGGTAAAGCTGCCACAGACAACACATAAGTAAGCCAGCAATGTGTCCCAATAACGTCTCACTCACAAATCTAAGTGAAGAAACATGCAGGGGGATTCTCTTTTATATCAAATATGAATTATGATTCCGGTTCTTTTCACTGGCCTTACAAGAAGGCCCCCAGGTGTTAGGGGTCTCTAGGCCATATCTGATGGTCTGGCCTGGCGCCAGCGTTACTAACCCTCCCCCAGGGCAGTGCACTGTTCACAGTTTTATGGCCTCTGTAACAGGTTCTGCAAGACTAGTTTCTGGGAAGGAGGTAGTGACCTTATTATAAGTTATCAAAAATGTACACTGAGCTTGCTGGCATGGATTCAGATTGCTAGCCCCCCAAATATCAGGTTACATTGGAATTAGTCCTTTTTAGCCTTCTCACCATAGATATCAGTTAATAAACCACCTCATGACTCCATCAGCCACTATACACCAGACATTGTCAAGTTCCCGACTGTCACACCTCCAGGTCCTGTAATTGGATTTGAAGTGGTGAGAATTTGTACTTCAAGCTAACAAGATTTAGATGAGATAGTGGATTTTAGCTGAGCCCCTAATGGGACTGAACTCTTCCTGAAGAGAGGTTTATGTGATGCAGGCTCTCTGTTGGGGACATGGGATATGGGAGGGCCGGTGGAAGGATCTGAGAGGGGCCTGGAGGAGCTGGGAGTGACGCCCTGCTGACAGCCAGCCTGAAGCAGCGACTTGACACAGGCAAGGAAACCAATTCTGCTCCCAGCCGGCAAGCTTGGAAGGGGACGCCAAGCCTCAGATGAGCACTACAGCCTCAGCTTGTGACTTGTCTTGTGAGACCGTCAGCAGGGAGCCAGCTGAGCCCTGCCTAGACTTCTGACCTAGAGAGGGAGACAACACAGGGAGTTGTCATCTGCAAGTTTGTACTCATTTGTAGAAAATGAACAGTAGCTTTTGCTCAATTAAGTTTTATATGCTGCATCTTAAGAACTTTTTGTATAGCTGGAATGCTTAATGATTAAGAATCATTTCAGCCCTAGCCAGTTTGGCTCAGTGGATAGAGTGTCAGCCTGCGGACTTAAGGGTCCCAGGTTTGATTCCAGGCAAGGGCACATGCTAGGGTTGTGGCCTCCATCCCCAGTATGAGGCATGCAGGAGGCAGCTGATCAATGATTCTCTCTCATCATTGATGTTTCTATCTCTCCCTCTTGCTTCCTCTTTCTGAAATCAACAAAAACATATTTTTTAAAAAGTTAAAATGTGAAAGAAGAAACACCAAGCATAGAAAAAATGTGATATTTATTTCCTTAAAAGATGGTGAAATGATTTTAAATAACAAAGTAAAAAGAAAACATAGAGAAAAACATTGTTATACTATATTTTTTTAAGTTTGTATTTAAAAATCATGACAAGTACAACCACAAGTTACATAAAAATCACAAATTAATATGTGAAATGATTCTTTTTTATACATATTTTTATTGATTTCAGGGAGGATGGGAGGGGGAGAGAGAGCGAGAAACATCAATGATGAGAGAGAATCATTGATCAGCTGCCTCCTGCATGACTCATACTGGGGATGGAGCCCACAGCCAGGGCATGTGCCTGATTGGGAATCAAACTATAACTTCCAGGTTCATAGGTAGACAATTGACCATTGGCCACACTGGCTGACTACATTTGAACTTTACATTCATCTCAGTATCATCCATGTGTGTGTTTAAATATGGACTTTTTTTTTTTTACTTTCCAAGTAATTAACCAATTGACACAATGTTATTTATAGTAAATTTTCCTCACTTGCTGAATTAAAATTTCACTTTTATTATGCACTACATCCTTAATTTATTCAATGTGAAGGCACGATAACTGTTCTGTCTTGAATATAGTCCTAGTGTGGCATTCTTTTCTTTTATTTGTTTAACAGTTCTTTACTGTGAAAGTATTTCATATGTCTCCTTTCCCCCCCCCCATTGGCCCCCTCCAGGCCCATCCCTTTGCTCCCCCATCTTAGGCCTTTAGCATCCTATTGTCTGTGTCCATGGGTTTTGCATATATGCATACAAGGTCTTTGATTGATTACTATCCAACCACCCTCCCCCACCTTTCCTCTGAGATTCCCCACTCTGTTCCATGCTTCCACGTCTCTAGATCCACTCCATTCATCAGTTTATTTTGTTACTTAGATTCCATATCTGAGTGAGATTATGTGATACTTGTCTTTCTCTGACTGGCTTATTTCACTTAGCATGAAACTCTGAAGGTCCCTCCATGCTATCTCCAAGGGTAAGAGATTCTTCTTTTTACTGCTGCATAGTATTCCATGGTGTAAATGTACCACAGCCTTTTCATCTACTGGTGGGCACTCGGGCTGTTTCCAGATCTCAGCTATTGTAAATAACTATGAACATAGGGGTGCATACATTCTTTCTGATTGGTGCTTCAGGTTTTTTAGGATATATTCCCAGAAGTGGGATCACTGGGTCAAATGGCAGTTCCATGTTTAATTTTTTGACGACACTCCATACTGTTCTCCACAGTGGCTGCACCAGTCTGCATTCCCACCAGCAGTGTACTGTGGTTCCCTTTCTCCACATCCTCTCCAGCACTTGTCACTTCTTGGTTTGTTGATGGTAGCCAGTGTGGCATTCTTTTAAAGAAGCAAGAGTAAATATTTTAAAACAATTAAACTTTTATTGCAGTCTCTTGAAAATTTCAACTTTGAATTATGTTTCTGACACCATGAAAAATGATTGAAAAGTCTTTTAAACTATCTTCTTCCCTAAAATCTCACACTAGAATTTCTTCACTCCCCACAGCTTCCTCACCAGGGACCACTTTTCCTTCCGCTCCCCCACAGGGGCCTGAGGGTCAAACACATCTCCCAGCCTCAAACACTTGTCTCCTGACCCTCACACCCCACTGAGCTCCAGTCCCCAGGAGCTACTGCCCATCACCCCCCAGCCAGATGGACTCCAGAAGAGTGAAGTGGGCCCTTCTGCCTCCTCCTGCCACGGAGAAGCAAAGAATATGACCTACAGCAGGAGAGCTTCTTAGATTTATCTCTGTTTACCATCCCCAGATTTTCTCAAGGGATTAACTGCTTCCTAGAAATACAGTAATTTTTCAATATCATTGTTTTTATATAAATTAGTGCTGTTCTGTGAAGTTAGTTTTATTCCACAGTTGCCCGTGTTTTGTTAGCGGTATACATTTGTTTTAATTGTTTAGCTTTACAATCATTTGTAAACATCTGTTAGAACAGCCCCCTTTATTACTAGCTATTTTTGTACATTTATTATTCTGGAAGAAAGCAGAAACATTTTACTTATAAAACAATCTTATCGATAGTTAGATGAAAGCAACTCCGAATCTATGTGTCTGGTTCGGGAAATTGGCACAGGCTATCCTGTTCAAGGACAGGGCATCTATTTATGTTTAAATCCTTCCTGTCTTTAAGTCAACATCTGTTCTTCTCTGTGGATTAGACACATGGTTGGTGGAGGTTATTGCTCTGATGTTCTGTGTATGTGTTGCTCTTCTAACGAATTGTTTTCTGGACCAGACTAAGTGGCTTGGAGACAAGTGACGCTGCCTAATGTCTGCTAGGGGCTGGAGGGGAAGTATTTCCTGTGTTAACGTAAATACTGCATCTGTGGATCCCCCTTT